AATGGGTTAATGAACCAATTGAATTAAAATTAACACAGAAATAAAAAATTACAAAACTTAATAAAAATTTATAAAAAAATGTATATTAATAAAAAATAATATTTAAATAATAAATAAAAATTATTTATTTATTAAAAAATTTAAAATAGGTCTAACGAGCCAACCTATCCCAACTCGTCATTTGCATATATTTTAGTGGGATAAAATATGATGACTTGGATGGACTAACGAACGCAAAGTATTGAGCTTGACTCATTATTTTTAGTGGTCTAGGCAAACCAGTCCATTAGGCCTAACCTAGTTTGACACCCTTACTTAATCTATATATCACAATATTCTAAAATAAAAATGTAAAAAAAAATTAAATATAATCTTAACATATTTCCTTCTAGTGCAATTTAAAACAAAGTAACGAAGTATTAGATAAGGAGATCCTATATCCCTTTGTATTTTCGTTTTATACATTGAAAGGTTAGCACATTTACATTGAAAGGTTAGCACACTTAATTCAGGACAAGATTTTTAACAAGGAATGGTCTCCCCTTGCATTCAGTAGTTCAAGACCTAAGATTTTTCACCTTTTTTTTGCTGATGATATCATTCTAGTAGGCAAGGCTAGTAAAGCTAATTCTCAGGTTATTAATTTTGTGCTAAATGAGTTCTGTTCTACTTCAGGGCTTAGTATTAATACTGCTAAATCCTCCTTATTCTGTTCTAAGAATACTGATCTTCAGGTTGTTAAGAAAATTAGTGATATCCTTGGAATTAATCAATCTAGTTAGGTTAAAAAATATCTTGGGATACCCATTTATCACCATAAACCAGCTAAGAATGAGTTTGGTTTTTTAATAGATAAAATTAGGAAAAAACTCTCTATTTGAAAGATGAACTCATTATCTCTTGCTGGTAGAGTCACATTAGCTCAATCTAGTCTCATGAGTATCCCCTCTTATATTATGCAATCTTTCTTGCTTCCTATTTCTGTATGCAATAAGGTAAACAATATCTGTGTGAAATTCATTTGAGGTTTCTTGGGTGATAGGAAGTGTCATCTTGTTAGTTGAGAAAATTTTTGTAAGCCTAAGTATGAGAGATGGGGGGGCTTGGATTCAGGGATATTCACCTTCTTAAAAAAGTTTTTTTAATGAAACTCTAGCGGAGAATGATGTCATCTCCCTATGATTTGTGGGCTCAAGTGATTAGTAATAAATATAAATTTTCTAGTGGAAAAAATCCTAAATTAAGTAACTATCTCAATCCCTCTTACCTCTGGAAGAGTTTGATATTTGTTTGAGATAATTTCTCCAAGGGGCTGGGCTGGATCATTAGGGATGGCTTATATACCAAATTTTGGGAGGATAGGTGGATTTTCAATCTTCTACCTTTATCTCACTATGCATTACATCCTATTCCTACTAACAACTTTGACAGACGTGTTTTTTATTTTTCTTCCCAATGTAATTGAAACTGGGGTAGAATTAAGAAATTGTTGCCTGAGTCTATCTGTGAGTACATTGATAAAATTAATCCTCCCAATGTTTCAAAAGGGCTTGATTTGTTTTACTAGAGTTATACTAGTAATGGGTTTTTTTGGTCAAATCTACATATGAATTTTTGTTTGCTGCTCCCCATAATGTTGGGATTGACAACAATACCTTTAAACTTGTTTGGAATTGGGAAGGTTCCCCTAAAATTGTTATTGTTCTTTGGAAAGTGGCGCACGTTAGGCTCCTTACAAACTCTGATAGGTTTAGGACAATGCTCTTGAATCTATCCCCTATGTCTTAAGAGATTATTGGTTTGCTGAGTGGGTCTAGAAATATTTTATTTTACCCACTAATTTGGGCTTGCTTCTACAGTTTAGGGCTTTCTGATTGGCTAAAGTCTAATTTATCTAAATCTGACCACAATAATTTTTCCTGTTGGAATATGCTTTTTGGGTTATTATATGGCATCTTTGGAATAATAGAAAATGTGGGATTTTTTAGAATTCTTCTGTCATGCCTGATGTGTTAATCAATAAGATTCTATGTGATTTTATTTATTTTTCTTTTTGTGGCAGGGTTAAATGCAAAGCTGATTCTAATTTTCTGAATCCTCATAACCAGATCAGGTGGTCCCCTCCCTTTATAAGGCAATTTATGCTGAATGTAGATGGATCTGTCTCAAAATTTGGGCTTGCTGCTGGATGTGGAGGCTTAATCAGAGATACTAAAGAAGATTTTGTGGCTAAATTTCAAAGAAGTTTAGAACCTTGTTCTTACCTAGTTGCTAAGTTATGGAGTATTTTTAGGGAGATTAAGCTTGTTCTCCAGTAAGGTCTTAAACTAATCTGAATAGAAAATTATTACAAAGAAGCTGTGTCTCTGATTTTGAATGTATAGAATTGTAATCATTTATTATTCCCGTTGATTAATAATATTAGATCGTTACTAGAGTATCAATTGTATTAGAATTATTTTCTCCCCTATAGAGGCTAATCAAAGTGCAGATAGATTAACTAAGGCTGCTTTAAAGTATTGTTCGCCCTTTTCTTTTTTTGATAAAGCCCCATTATTTGTGGCATTTTCTCGGTAGGGATGCTTTGAGTTTTTAGTTCTCTAGAGGAGCTGGTTAGTTTTGTCTTTATTGTTTGAGTTTTTTTGATCCCGTTTATCATAAAAAAAAAGTAATGAAGTAAATATATAACTTAAACCTCTCTTTTCTTTTATAAATTTAAATAATATAAAATTAGTTTTAACTTACTTTATTTCAACCATATTAGATGTTTGGGAGTTGGGTTTAGGAGGGGAGGAGTTAAAAAGGGTTCATGAATAAAATTTTAACTTTTTTTTTAAATATTAGTTTTTCACGTGATAATATTTTAAAGAAATAAAAATATTAATTTTTAAAATTATTAATTTTTAGAGAAAAATATTTAATTTTTATGAAAATAAAAAATATAATAATATCATTTATATAATTGAACTTCATATCACCCTCCTTTCTCAATATTAAACATTTAAACAAGCAAAGAGTTTAACCTCCCTCTCCTTTCTTTCTATTCTTCTCTTTCTCCATTCAAATCCATCTCCTTCCTCTTCCTCTAGATTTTCAAATAAAGGCTTAGAAAAAATTTATAATGATTATCGAAAGAGACAACAGGTAAATCACTGCCTATTTTATTCAGCTTCAAGGATGCAGATACATTAGTTGGTTCATGGCTTATAACTTTTATTCTCCTGAAGACAAATGGCAGAGCTTTGGAACCTTCTTCCATGCCGCCTTTGAATCTTGTTCCCACCATTACTTTTCTTTGAAGCTCAGAGTTAGAACCTCTAGAACACTCTTTTTAACTCATTACACAAAATCAGAATATGTGAAACACAATCTAAAAGAATCAAGTAAAGAATTCAACTCTCAGTTACGACGTCAACTTTGTAACTAACTTTCGTCACAGTGAAGGTCATACTTATTCTTCTAATTAAATGCTGAAATATGATTTTTGAAGATTGTGAAATTAGTTTATGCCTTCAAATTAATGTTCCCGTGATCTAATTGTTCCATTTTGACTCTCAACATTTACATGGGTCAAAGAAATGCAAAGAAGTTGGTGTCATCGTTGTCTTTACATTTATATTTAATTTGTTACTTTACATATATTTCTTTGCGTGTGTCACTAAATATTAGTACTTTTATCCACTTGCTTATAATTATTATGCTCAATTTCGTTCAACTGTCTCACCATTTCAATTTTCAAGCTCAATGTTCTAGAAAAAGACTAGCCATATTTGTACTAAAATAAATATTTGATATTTAAAATATCCTAATTACTTTTTGGGGGCTAAAACAGATTTTTTTAATTTAAATATTTGCATATTGTTAATGAGTTTAACGTCATATGGCACTATGGCTATTTAATAATACAAGAAATTATTAAAGGAAAGCGTAATTTACGATTAGAAATTAAACTCTTTCATTTTGTATCCATTTCAACTTAAATTTTCTTCAGTCAATGACATTATGGTTGACTCAGATATTTCATATTATTGGCACGTGCATTCCCATTAAAATTAAACTTTGAACTTTTCCTTAAAAAAATTGAAACATAAACAGACTTTGTATATGCGAGATACGAGACATGCAGTTAAAATAAATTTTGTCGAAAGCACTCCACTTTTCTCTCTCCTCTCTCTCACTCTACCTCTCACGCTGGCTTTATTAGGCCTACTAAGTGGAAGCCATAATAATAATAATAATAATAATAATAAGGACGACAATAATGATAATGATAATAATAACTATAATAAATAAATAAACTTTCCGAACAATTGAAGAAGGATTTTGGCTTTTGGGAAATGAATAGTCATATTGCAAAATACAAATGGTGCTTGTTTGACTTCCCTGCCCAAAGTTGTTGGAAAATTCAATACATACGCGTCGGCAATAAAAGTTGAATAAAAATTCAAAACTAAAATAAAATAATATTATCTAATTATACTAAACAAAGGTAAAATATATTTTCTTAAATATATAAACTTGATTTAGTTTTAAATTTAATTTTAATATGCGGCATATTTACTTTTACTGACTGACCAGAAGAAAATTATTTGAAATTCTATAATCTTATAGTTATATTTTTAATATATAAGCAAATTACCTTAAAAGTTTAAAGTTGTAGGAGACCATTCGTAACATATTAAAATTTTAAACAAATCAATTATCAAAACTAAATTTGAAACTTATGATTAAATCTAAAAAGAATGATTTGTATCTTAAGGTTTAATTAACTAATTTAAGAAAGGGAATGGAGTAGCCACGGGGCAACTAGTGAACCATTCTAAGGCGTCTATTAGAAACAGTGTTGTATTGTTACTCACCACCTAGAGACCTACTTACCCTTATATATAGAACTTTGTTGCCTCCACATCGTTCTTAAATCTTCACATCTCTTCCATACTTCTAGTTACATACACCAACCTTTTAATTCTGTCTGACAAAACAATTGTTGTTTTGTTGTTAATCCATATCCTCTATACTCTCCTACACAAACCATATTACACCTTACATTTTAAACCATGTCATTCACATCCAAATTGCCTTTGGTTCTGTTCTTCTGTTCCCTTTTTATCCATGCATCATTAGGTATACATGGGCTATATACATCCTGCTCTATATCTTTAGATCCAGTGCAATTGTTTCTTTTAATTTTAGTTTGGAGTTAAATATATTTTTTATTTTAAAAATATCATTTTTTTTAGTTTTAATCTTTATAAAAATTTTATTTGTTTTTTTTTTAAATTATAAAATCACATGCTTTTAGTCTTTGGTGGAAGACAAAAGTTATATTATTTTTGTTTAAGATAAAGATTAACAACCAAAAGAGTAAGTTTAGAACATGATGTGTTTGTTCTGAACCTTGAATTGGTGCAGCTGAAATTGTATGTGAGGAGTTGGCAAAGGATGCATGTGCTTTCTCAATAGCTTCTTCAGGGAAGCGGTGTTTGCTGGAGACGGCGAAGGCGGCAAATGGTGGCGTGGAATACCAGTGTAGTACATCAGAAGTGGCGGTGGAAGGGATGGCAGATTACATAGAAACAGATCAATGTGTGGATGCATGTGGAGTTGAAAGGAATTTTGTTGGTATTTCATCTGACGCACTCCTTGAGCCACAATTCACTGCCAAATTATGCTCACCATCTTGTTACCACAAGTGTCCCAACATTGTTGACCTTTACTTCAACTTGGCTGCTGCAGAGGGTAAGAATTATCCATTGCTTCTCAATAATGTTCAATTCATATATGTAAAGAAAATTGTGTTGGAGACTCAAAGCTTTACTTTCATCTAAATTAAAATCTTTTATGCCTGATCATGGTTAACATTTAACGTAGTTTATAGCTTTCCTTGCTGAATAATTCTAATTAAAAGTATGGTACTTGTGATCATATGTTATCATGCATTTATTTTGTAGCAAGAGAAGGAATTGGAATAGCAATTAGCTGTTGGACATTCAATGTTGTTGTCTTAATTTGACTAAAAATTGAAATTTCCAAGTACTAAGCATGTTTTGTCTTTTCTTCTTGTGTTCCATTTTCTTGCTTTATATATGTATACCATAAGAAAATGCGTGTATGGTGTTCACCATTCCTTAAATATTTGACGGTGCTTATTTTCATGTTCTGCTCTAGTCTTTGCGTTCACTTTGCACTATGAAAGCATCAAGATACCTTACCTTCTAACACTGCAAATTTAATCATTATATGTATAGTCATTCTTCTACAACAAAAAAATGAAATGAAAGAAGGATTCTTTTCTTCATGTTATTGGATAACATTTTCTATATTTTTTTTAATTGATTATTTGAAAAGGACTCTGTTTTGTGTCATTTTTGTTTTCTTGAAATCAGCATGAACAGCAATTAAGCTTACTTTGATGCTATACAGGGGTGTTTTTGCCAGAACTTTGTGAGAAGCAAAGGACCAACCCTCATCGTGCTATATTTGAGCTTGTGAGCTCTGGAGCTGCACCTGGCCCTGTTTCTGATGCGTCAGAGGACATGCAAGCAGCACTTGCCCCTGCTCCCCAATAAACAATGTTGCTTGATCACTTTATTTTTCACAATTTCCTTGATATAGTGTCATAAACTTTAGGTATATGAGTTCATTACCTTGGGTTGGGATTTTATTAATGTAATAATCTTTGTTGAACAAACAAGGCTTAGTTGGGCAGGCAGTGTGATAGATTTGTGCTACTCTCCAAATTTTTGAATTGTTTTCCGCACCAAAAACTTTCAATAAATAAAATGTATCATTTTTTTCAAGAATTCAAACATTAATCTATTTGTAATGGATCCAATGTTCATAATTATTTCGATTAGTGTTTTATATTATTTTTACCTTTATATTTACAATAAAGTAGATGAAAATACTACAGTCCAAATAAAATTATATTTATAAAGATTGATGTTCATTTTAGAACATTGATTGTTTTAGTTTAAGATTTTTTTTTTTATGATAACTACATACTAAATTTTCAAACTTGCTTTAACATATTGTATATGTGTACCATATTATGTAGTTTTGCTTTATATCATATACCAGAGACCCTTCTCTTCCTACTCTTCATGGTCATCACCCTATTCTTTCAGGCTTGATATTTTGTCAGTCATTGCTCTTCCTACCAAGTTTCAATTTGGGCCATTCTCTTGATTATACTAACTCTTGAATTTTTACTAAATGACTTATCAATACTAATAACCCTATATTGCAAAAGGTGTCTTGTGTACAAAGTGACGCAAACGAATATTTTATTTGTCTCCCTTTTTCGATCTTAGATAATACAAGAATAACTTGTTATCAATGTTAGGCAATATTCTTTGCTTGATTTATTTATTAAGTTTATCTAAACTTCAATATAGATGTCAGTCTGATCATGACTAGCCCTTGGAATGCATGCTTGATTTTTTATTGGAATTACCAGTGATTAGGCAAGTCTATATTTCACATACTATGCTTTTGAGATTATATAAATTTTGTATCATTATCACCGCGCACAATTTTTACTTGTTTGTTAACATTTTAACATATTTGTAAAATGACATAAAATTATAAAAAAAATTTGTCAATCAATAAATAAATTTACTTTGCACACGGATAATCATTAACAATGATTAAAAAAATATTTTACACCACAGAATGTCTCAGTTTAATCAAATCCCACAAATTACTGGGAATCAAATACAAATTATCAATTATTTTATAGAAAATATTAATCTTAGTCTTTTGAATTTAGTTTAAACAACTAATAATAGTAATTTTTTTATAAAAAAATATTTATTATACTTTTATATCTTTAGTATAATAAATTTATTAATAAAAACTTACTACTTTTAACTGCTTAAATTCAACTTTAAAGATTGAACTGAACATAACTCTTGTTTTATTCTTTGTTATTGAAAAATCATCTTTTAAATTTTTTGTTTGTCACCTAGATAGAAAAACAATGAGGATCTACTTATTTTAAGAGTAAGTTTATTCTATTTAATAATTTTTTTTGCAGAAATTAAATTTTTAAAACTACTTGTTAAATTGAAGTAAGATAACACATATATAGATAATTGAGATAAATATTATATAATTCAATGTTTCTGTTTATGAAATTTTCATTATATAAAAAAAGTTATAAGTGAAAGTTAAAATCTTGGAGTTAGCAGATTCTGTGTGTGTGTATGAGAGTCATGTGATTAACTACTAATTAATTTGTATCACTAATTAATTTTTAATTTAAATCACATATATTTAGTTGTATGGTATAAATTTATAATTTTTAAAATTTTATAATTGTTCTCACTTGATACATCTCTTATATAGGGACTGATTCAAGTGATAACATTTAGTTATTATGAAAATGAGAATAATAAATATGGACTATTAGATTTTATTAAATGGTTAAGATTAAAAAAATGTACATAAATTTTTAAGTGATATATGAATATTAATTAACTTTTAATCTTGATTATTCATATATAGATGTAGAAATATAGTTCTTATATTCTTAAAATAATAAGTATTCTTACTTGATGCATCCCTTACATATATTATTATTATTATTATTATTATTATTAAAGAGAGAGAAATATAGGATGAGAACAAAATTATGAATGAGTTTTATAATTTCATATTAGAAACAAAATTTTATTATAATGTATATAGAATACTAAAAAAAATTATATATTTACTTAATATTATAAAAAAATTATTTTGTAATCGATGTTATAAAATCATATCAATATGTACTAATAAAAAAATAATTAATTGGTTATTGATAAAATTATGAAAAATATAAATGATATTGCTTTCATAATCTATATTGGATTAATTAAAACAAAATAATCTATAACAACAATGTATTTTTATTATTAATTTATTTTTTCTTAGTTTATACTAAAAGTATTTTTTATAAAAAATAATGTTATTCGAGCCAAAGGTGAGACTAGTTCTCTCATCAGAAATATGTTTCATTCCCAAAGTTTAAACTCGAGACCTTTTTAAAAGAAATTCAAGCATCTTCCACTTGTAATAATCTCCATTGATACTTCAACAAGTTATTTGTTATGTCATGGCGAGAGTATTAATAATTACATTATAAGCAAATATAATTTTATATTAATATTGTAGTAATTAAATTATATATTTATTTATATGTATGATAATTAATAGTATATATTATAATTGAAGAAAAAGTACAAAAAATTAAACAACATAAAAGAAAAACATATTCAAAGTTAAAAATTTATTTTATAATTATAAAATGGAGATAAAATTTACTTTAGTATATATAGAATATAGATAAAGGTAGCCAAAGTCGTTGCATTGGAAGAAAGCAAATCAAATGATACAATGGGAAATTAAAATATAAAATAAAACTAAAATGCTTTTACAGATTTCTTCTCAAGTGAAACAAATTAATAAAAAAAAATATTTGAACTACAGACATTAAAATTATAAATATCATATTTTTACTCTCACTTTCTCTTCCATTCATTTTTTATTTTTTTCTTATCATATCATCTATTATATCTTATGTTTTCTCTTCCAATTAATTTTTTTATCTCTCGTTCCTTCACACCCATTAACTGAGTGTGAAGAAACATTTCCATTAAAATTAGGTGGAAAAGCACGTTTTGGTGTCAGCACTTGGGTAGATCATGAGGTGGGGAAGGTAGCCTAGACGAAGGAGTAGGACCATTCTCAATTTCGAAAGCCATGGTCATCCCCCATTCCAGATGACTGTCTACATGGCAGTGTACCAGCCATATACCTGCAATTAATTATTACAAAGTGAGTGAAGATGTTAGCATATATAATAAGATTACTAAATTACATTCATCAAACCATAATTAACTAAAGATAATTAATTAATTTCATAATAACATTGAAAAAATGTTAATTCACCTAATGTTGTATAACATACCTGGATTATCTGCTTTAAACCTGATCACAGCCCACCCTCCTTTTTCCACCGCAACTGTATTTCTCATTTGGGGATTTACAAGATTAAACTTCATCCTGTCTTGAGTGGCATTGTAGTTTCCCAAACCCTGAGCTAAAACAAAGAAGTTGAAACCATGAATGTGCATGGGGTGGTTCTCCGTGTCAAGGAACGCAACGTTTTGATACACAATCTCTACAGTGGAATTGTATTTCAACTTCTTCACCTTGGTTGATTTGGGTGCAAATATGTGAGCAAAGTCAAGGCTATTATTTGGGTTGGTATAGTCAAACTCTAGGGGAGGGTTACTTGGAAAATCCTTTGTGTACACGCCACTAGCATCATAGTAGAATGCTTCCAACATGGACATTTTCTTATCACTTGGAAGTACAAAAGATTCATTGTTCATGCTAGCAGAGAGTTGAAATCCTTGTGGGCCTACACATGTACCGTTGATTGGACAAGGTGCAAGATTAATCCCTAATGTAATGAACATGTGTTCATCCACTTCATGTGGACATTGGCGCCAATGGGGCCTATTTACAAGCCCAGTAAGGTTGGTGAAAAACTTGTTGGCAGTACCAGAGTCGTTGAAGGCTGGCAAGATTGGCGTTAAAGGAGTGGTTGTTTTGGAACCTTCATATACAATAAGCCCTCTAGTTGTGGTGCGGTCAATATTTGCTGTTGTGGAGAAGTAAATTGATGCAGCCATGTAATAGGAACCAATTGGTTGATCAGCTTTCAATAGGGCATCGGTGGTTTGACCCGGGGCAATCACTATAAGATCGGTAGCATAAGGTGTCGTGTACACGGCATCGATTGCGACAACAGTAAAGTTGTGATTGGCAACCTTGAAGAACATTTGGCTATTGATGTTGGCGTTGATTATCCTTAGCAAGTAGGTTTTGCCAGGCTTAACCTTCAAGTTGAACATCTCTATATTATATCAAAAGCAAACAACATTGAAGCATGAGCATGTGTCACACATAGGAAAATATTAATTTTTTTTAAAAATGGATCAAATTCAAGATGATAATGTAGAGTGAGTACATACGATCTTTAGAGCAATTGTATAAATCACCGGGCAATCCATTGATCATGAAAGCATCGGATGGGGGAAGTCTTTGGGCATCGAAGTCCATAATGTTAGATTTCCACCACTCACCTTCAATCCACCGTTATATAAAGTCAATTAATTTATATTGAAAAGGGAGAGGGAATAAAGGATGTGCAAGTAATTATTATGATACCGAATAAGATGGGAACATGCTCGTAGGGCTTAGGAAATGCATAAGGATGGTTTTTCCTTGGATGGATAAAAATTGCACCATGGACTGTTGCACGAAGGAAGGATGCATGAGCATGCCACCAAAGAGTTCCCTCTTGTCCTTGGATTTTGAATCTGTAAGTAAAATTATGTTTGGGACGAATTGGGCATTGAGTGACATATTCGGGACCATCGGCCCATCCACTGAGAATTTGAAATATTCCATGCCTGTATAACAAAAATAAATAAATAAATAAATAAAAATACAAATAAGCATTGACCATGTAACCAAAAAAAAAAAAAAAAGACCATTTAATTACATAAAGGAAAAATTATGGCAAGACCTTAAAGGTAGCTAGGGACTTGCAATATATCAATTTATTTACAGGAAAAAAATTATACCCACGATAAAAAGAAATATCGGTTTAAGAATTTAGGATTGGATTACTTTTTACTAATATTCTAACATTTTGTCTAACAAAAATTAAACTGTTAGTATTGATCTGTTGAATTTATACTAATGCATAATGTTATTTGTATGTAATATTACTATATATTATTAATATGATAAATACTAATATAATATATCATATTGTTAGTATAATTTTAAATTTTTATTCTAATAGTTTAATTTTTGTTATAATAATTATATTAGCAAAAAAAAAATCAATAAACTTTGTTTGTTAATGAATAATTATTTTTTTAGTGACCTAAAAATAAAGAAGCTAAATATTTATTAATATTAACGATAATATATCTCATACTCAGATTTAATTAAAAGGTATATAAATACGATGATTTTCAGTCTAAATTGTTTAATAAAATTGAGGCAAATAGATCACTCAAGCTTAAGCTCAACTATCTCTCAATCTTTGATTTGAGACTAAATTCAAATTCTAATATAGTATCAAAATATTATTAAAAAATGGTAAAAAAAAAAAGTAGACTGAAAATTAAAAAGAAAAGGGTCAAGCTAAAATAGAAAAATAGACCTGTAAAATTGAAAAAAATCAAGAAGAAGAAGCACAAAAAACATTTTAAACAAACTATAAACCCTTTAAACATAAAGTCCACTCTCCTTCAATTTTAGATTGGATCTCATTCAAAATTCTCTTGAGGTATCAAAGTTTAGGTTTAAAAATAATAATAAAAAGTCCAAAACTAAAAAAGAAGGGTTAAGAAAAAATAAAAATAAAAATAAAAATAAAGTTACAACATTAAAAAAATCATGCATTTATGGATAAATAATAAATCTAAAAGATATAAAAGTAAAGTGCCTTTAAGTTTAAATTATTTAAAATATTTTAAGCAAATAAACTACTCAAACTTAACCTCAGTTTATCTTTTAATCTTAGATTTAAGTCTATATTCAAATAAGAAAATTAAAAAAGAGCACAAGTTCAAATTAAAAAATAAAAACTTAAAATAGAAACGCAAAATATAAACATAAAGTAAAACAACAAAAAGTTAAACTACAAGTCACGACATACACTAAACTTTTATGTTAAATTACGCCTATGGCATTAAAAAAAAAAAACCCAATTTAGTTCAAATAAATAAATTAAAATAGAGACTCAACTTGAAGTGTAAACGTAGACTAAAACAACAGAAAGTTAAACGACAAGTCAGTATACCCTAAACTTTTATGTTAAATTACGCCTATACTCAAAATCTTAATAAACTCCGCTTGAAAACACTACCATATATGTCATAAATGAGCTCGATGTTGACGGGGTCAGAATATTTAATTTGCTGCCATAATAATATGACTAAAAAGAGATGAATATAGTATATATCTATTTTGTTGTTAAGGTCAAGCATGTTATGTATCAATATCATACTCTATCGCTTCTTTGCTTTCGATTTCACAGATTGGAAGAAGTTGTTTTACTTACTAATCCGTCACTGTTTTGCTTTAATTTTAAAATTTAATTACTTAAGAACTAATATCTTTACCAATGTATGGTGACGTTGTAAGGCGAATTGTTCAACACATGGATGACAACAGTGTCACCCTCTCGCACGTGTAAGGTGGGTCCAGGAAACTCCCCATTAACGGCAGTGATAACTTGATTGTTGCATAGACGAGGGATAGTGAAGTTCGCCACCTACAAATTTCAATGAGATTACCATTATATATAGTAAGAAACAAAATTGAATAGCTGAGTTGTTAGTCACAAATTTACATGCATGCGGTTAATTAATAGAGCTCATTATGAGCATATGTGTATTGTGTTTTGTGTGTCACTAGAATCGTAGAAGAGGCTATGACAGAATTTATATAGTGGAAGAGAATCAATTGAACAAAGTAATTACATTGAATGTGTGCTCCACTATAGCCGCAGAAGTCATAGAAGACGAAGCTAGCAGAGCGAAAACCCATGCTAGAGCAAAAACTAGATTTCTCATGTTCAAAAGGAAAAAGTTAGTGAAGCAAAACAAGCTATGACTAAGAAGAACGTAAACTATTTCTTGTGATAGATCAATGTGTGTGTTTATGTGTTCTAGGCAAGTTTATGACTATATATATACAGATTCGGCAAAGGTTGTTTTCCTGATTTCGTGTTTACTTTATAATAATTGAATATAATATTGCATTAGTCTTTTAATTGCTAAAGCATTTGAATTGGTTCTGCACTGCACAGGGTCAGAAAGTTAGTCACGTAAAATATTTCAGGTCGTGTTTACAACACTCCTTCAATTAAATAATGTATATTAAACAATGTTTGTGTTTATTGTCATTTTAAAATATTTATTGTAACTTTTATTTCAATAATTATGTTTACAAAATATTTTTTATCTTTATTAATGAAATTAATAATAAAACATTTTTAAAAGTTCTTAACTTAGGATTAAATGTATAAGAGTGACGACAACATAAACATTTTAAGAAAATTAATTTTCTGAAAAAAAAAATAATGCTAACATTCCAAACTTGTACGTATTCAAGTACGTATTCAACTAAAATTCTATTATTATACTAAATACCAAGAGAATAGATAATTCAACATTTATGAAGCGGAAATATGAAAAAGAAAAAATATATTTCTAAAACATAAACAATGTTGTATTGAACACCATAATTTTTTTTTTCCAAAAGAGAAATATAAATAGAATAACAAAAATATGAAAGTTTGGTCATGGAGACGCACCCAAAAGGCATAAATATGTAAATTTTACCTTTGCTAAATATAGTTAAATTTTTATTTCTATTTTTTAATTTTTTAAAAATAGTTTAAATTATTATTTAATAATGACATGACATAAATCTAATAAAATGTCAGTGAGTATTTTGAGGTAATATATAATGTCACATTTTGAAATACATATCGCATCATCAATATAATGGTGATAGATATTATTTTAAAAAAAAAATTTAAGGACTAAGTCTAAAGGAAGAAGTTAAATCTAATTGTAACTATAAAAACAAAATATATTTTATTCATAAAAAAAAAAGTGAAAAGTAGATATTTTAACAAAGGCACAATTCTTATTATTGATGTTCAGATATATAATGTGATAATTTTCCACTTCCGCAGCAGATAAACTGCCACGAGTTGTTGAACAAATACAATAATATATACGTAAATCAAGTTTATTTAGGTTAATAATATTCTATCAGTCAAGGTCAGAATGTGAGTTGATCAATTCAAAGGCATTCATTGTCTCTACGAAGGACTGGCCTGGTTTACTTCATGTAAAAGTAACATTATCATTAACATTACTACGATATGTTTTTATCAGAAAAACAAAAAAACATTTCGTTCAACGGTATGGCTCCCTTTGTTATATTTTATTTGATTTCATTTATTAGTTTATGGATCTTGCTTGTCTACCATGGAAACTTCAATTTGGAAGCAAAGCCAGAATGTGACTTGAAGGAAAACTGCAAACACGCGTATAGATTTCTCAGTTTCTATTAACAATTCGTTATCTTTATGAGCAAGCAAGACTCTCATGCACACTTTTTTTGTCTTAGAATAATCTTGAATTAATCAAAGACCATTTGCTAACAGAAGTGGATAAGAAGATATTGTAAATAATATTATGTGTTTCTTAATTATTAATTGCTTCAACTTCAAGAACCTGAAGAAAATTGTTAGAACTTTTCCAGGTTGCCCTGAAGTGTGGCTCATTAGTGTCTATTTTAAATTTTTCTGATGACGCGTTGCTTGATCTCTTGCTTTTGTACAACATAAGCACCCCAACTCACGGAATATATCAATAATTATTGTGATGGAAAGTTTGGCAATTTAAATAATTTCTCAATGTTTGAGTAAAATATACACTATTATTATAGTTTCTTGCACCGTGCATCACACGGGCATTGTTTATTAACTATCCATATACTTTTAGACGTGTGAAACATAAGTATTAAAAAATGTTAAATAATTGTATTACAATTACTATGTCATATATAATAGAGAATTACACCCATTATTTGTACTAATTATCTTGCTATATCGCACTGGCTCGTATAAATTTTAGAAAATTTATATTTTATTTTTAATGATACTTGTTTTGATCCTATTTTTAACAAATATTTATTAACATTTGTTTTCAAAATTTAAAAAATAAAAACTATTTTCAGATGCATTAATTGTTATTTTGTTTCTATATCATTATTTATTGTAAGATTTAAATTAACAAAATACTCACTTGTTATCCGCTTAAAAAGATAAATTCATTCTTTTAATGTACCGACTACCAATTCAACTATTTATTATTGTAAGTATTTTAAAATATATTATAAATCTATAACATACAATTACTTTATATTAATTTTAATAAATAAATAAATTATTATAAAAAATAAATCATATATATATATATTATCAATTTTTTTTGTTATTATACATATTATCAATTTACTTCTTATAATCCTTTTAATTGTTATAACTAACTTTAAAAGCCTTTTAATCATGACAACGTTATTCTACCTTTGATAACACCTATCTCCAACACGGAGAAGAAACTGTTTTTAATGGAAAAACCTTTTTCTTGAAAATTTCATGAGTCTCATTTATCAAGGAAATTTTACGGTAAACAAAAGAGGTGGTTATAAGGTTTTTCATAACTTTAAAGAGGGCGTTAAAAAGTATGTTCATAGTATATCTTTTGGTCTATGAGAAATGCTATCAACAAATTAGTTCTTAGTAAAATATTTATAAAAAATAAAAAATATATGAGAATCTTACATAATGTGTTTCTCTTGTACTTTTATAACTTTAAATAAATTTTAGTTAATAAATAAAAGTATGTGTAAAAAAGTATGTTCGAGAATGTGTTTTTAGCAATCATTTATAATCTATGTATGCATATTTGGTGTTTTAATTGATTGTATTCAAAGTAGGCTGTGAAAAAGAGGAGTGATAAGTCTTCGAAGGAATACAAGTTCATTTTTTATAATGAAAATGAAGAATAATTGAAACACTTGTTCTTGAGATGCATGTGATCTTACATGATTTGGTGGATACAGTATATTTTGTTTGTCTCAATTTTGCCATTAGGGGTGTTTAGAAATGATATTATCTTTAATAATCATTTAATGATTATGATCTTTACGACAAAATTGATAAAATTGAGAATTTAGATTAACAATAGATCTAAAATAATGATTTCTATGTTGATGGTGCCTATTACAATTAGAAATAAGTTAATCAATAAAAAAAAATTTGGTCACTAAAAATGATATGTTAAACTCGTAGTGTAAACAAATGCCTGTAAGAATTAACTTATATTCTTATTTTCTTAGGACAGTTTTATATTTCAAGTTTCATTAACACATTTTTTTCTCCTGCTTATTATTATAAATTGTGATTTATTGTGTCATAAATAGAATAATAGATAAGTTTCAAAATGTTTAAATATTCTCTTGTACATGTGTGGTAAAAATTATGCTCATGTATGTTCTTTGTGATGTTATTATTGTCAGAGTGTATACATTTGAATTTTTAAGAACTCTATTTTTTCTTTGTAGTAACAGTAGTTATTCTTAATTAGAAATTAGAATAATTAGAAATGTATGAATTAATTTTTGTTAAAGATAACTATGAGAAATTAAATCTAAAGTGAGATATACATTATTATTATAATTTATTCTTATTTTGTTCTTTGAAAAATTAAATCTAAAGTGAGATATACATTATTATTATTATAATTTATTTTTTTTCTTTGAATGATTTTTTTGTTTGCATAAACTTTAGAACTTGTTTTGCAATATCTAGTGAATTAAAACTAATTAAACCAGCTGGAAATGATTAAGACATTAAACTTTTATTTAAAAGCCTTTGATTTTCTTACCATTAGTTTAACCTTTTCAGCCGAACTTTAAAGATGTTTCGTTAACACCTTCGTTTTGATTGTAATATTTTTTATACGTATCCTTTAAAAGTCAATAAGTCGGTGAGGGGGAGCAAAAATAAAATTAAAGGCAAAAAGCCTTTCAAAAATGAAAAATTAAAAGAAAAAAAGAATTATTTTATTTATTCTTTTATCCTTACAAATCCGTGGTATACCGAGTATGTCTGAGAGGAGGTTATTAAAGGGGAAAGAAAGAGTGAACATATTTTTTTATTTTAAATTAAAAAATTATATATTATTTATAATAATAAATATATTAAATATTTGTTAAAATATTAATTTATATATTTTATTTTTAAAAAATATTAATTTTAAATATATTTATTTAAAATATAAATTTATGCCCTCTTCTCTCTTCTCTTCCAAAACCTTCATTCTCACACAACCCTAAAAGAATATCTAAGATAATGCCAAAATCATTTTATACAAACTAGAACAGCTAACATTGAATTTAAACAACGAAAACTGAAAAATAAAATGAAAATTATAGTTAACATTTAGAACGGCCTGAAGCTTATATGTAAGATAATCAGAAATCATTTTTATACAAACTAATTTAATATACACTTATTAAATATATATTTTAAAATGTATGACTACTTGATTAAATTTTTCTGAAGGTCAATTATTTCAAATTTGACGTGTGAACAAATCGATATCACAGCTAATACAAATCAAATGTGGCATTTGATTAAACACATGTTTGAATTGCGGCTAGGTGATATATGAGTCAGCTTCTATATACTCAATTTAATTTACCTCTTGGTCGGAAATTAGGATATACATAGAGCTCAAACCTCTAATTTCTGTCTACATATACCATATGTTACAATTAATTCAACTCTTGGTTTCTTCCCCTGTTATTATTATCATGTTCACTTACCAAATAATAATCGATATCTTCATTCCATTATAAAATACATATCTAAGGAAGAGAATGATATTTTTATTTATTTCATCAAATTCTATTACACTAATCATTAAATACAGATCTAATCATAATTTGTTTAAATGGATATAAAAGAGTTACAGTGTACAAATGTTAT